CAGAGATTGTGACGCTGTTGGGGTGGGGTTTGTTTGGTTGGGGGAGGTTTTATTATATTGATAAAATAACAGTTGTGATAAACTCACACCAGGTGACAAACAGGACTTTGATGAGAGACAGTGAAAATCCTGCATAGTTTGGGAAAAAACATGAAATGCCAGCAGCTCCTGGCTGGGCTGCAGAGGCAGCAGCACCTTTGGGAGAGCACTCACGGTGGAACTGCCATTTCTAGAGGCACTGAGGGAACAGCAAGAGCAGAGCAGGGCCAGGGCAGCAGGAGCTGCTCGCCTGCCAGCTGTCCCACAGCTGGTGATGTGACGTGTTCCTGCCCTAGAAAACCTCTCATAGCCCCCAGCAGAACCAGGATGTCATTGGAAGGAATTGCACTTGGGAGCAGGATCACATCTGTTGTTACCATGGATGTGGCCTGGGAGTGCCTCGATGCTGCCCCAGCTCTGCTGTAGCCACGTTCACTGGGATGGAGCAGCTGGGGGAGGATGGGATCCCCTCCTGACCTCTGCAACCACAGCAAGGGATCTGCAGGGTGTCATCATTCCAGATAAAAACCATGGCACTGACACGGTGACTGTCACTAAAAGGAGAGCTGGAGCATCCTCGGAGCCCAAACATCCTTCCATTCTGTTTTGTAGCTGTGCCTCTCATCCATCCCTTGCTTCTAAGAAACACTTGGTCTCCTGCTTCCTACGGCACCTGGGTTCTTCCCCTTGCCACGAGGACTGCCTGACTTCACTTACCTACAGGATCTGGCCAGATCTGTGCAATCCCTTTCCCTCATGACACTGCCTGTGTTCCTTTTTTAACTTTCAAAGTCCCAGTTAAAGCAGTGTTATCTCCCATTTGCCCAGTTCCATCTCTTTTCTACCTGAAGAATCTCCTACATCTGAGGACAGAAAAAGAATGCAGAGCCCAGTGAGGAGCCTCAGGCTAAGGGCTGCAGATGGATAATCTGTGTTCTGAAATGGGCTCAGGATGCTGAGGATTCCTGCTGGGAGCACGTACCATCCCACAGGACACATGGCAGGCCCTTCTCCAAGCTGGGTGTGTGATCCCAGGAGGAGCCGTGTCTGCCAAGGTACCAGTGCTGTGCTGGCAGGGCCAGGAGCACTGCATGGGTTCACAGCCCTTTCTTTTATGTAAAAACCAATGGTTTTGTCCCAAATTTCTGTCAGCGGAGTCAGGTAGTGAGGATACCTGAAATCTCATCTCACCCATGACCAGACAATGCCTGTTCTGCAGGAATGCTGAAATCAGAGTGCCTGTTTGTGTGACTGCCAGGCCGGGCAGCTGGCATGGTCTTCATCCAGAGAGGGGGAAAAAGCTCCAGGGAAGCCAGAGTGAGAACCGAGGGATCATCCCAGTGGCAAACAAAGCAAAAGGAAAAGCTGGCTTGGTTTGCTCAAACACATTATCCAGTGGGAAGGGGCCTGTGCTGGAGCAGGGGCTGCCTGGGACATGACTGCAGAGCTCTGCCATGGAGGTCACACCTTTGAAATCCTGGGATTTAAATCTATGCTGTGAGGTTGCACAAGCCTTCCCTAAGCCCCTCAGGGTCTGTATTGTAACATTTGCTGGGCTGCACAGCCCAGAGGCTGAACCCATGTGGGGAAGTGTCCAACAGCCCTACATCATCCCAGGCTTGGGAAGAGATGCAGTCCCAGGAGCTGGACAAGGACTGCTGCCAAAGGGTGGGAAATTCTTGGACCACTAACAAAGCTCATGTTGAGAAATACAAGCAGAGTGTAAAGCTGCTGTGACAGCAGGGGATGGGTGAGTGTACTGGGCATCGCTTGTTTCTCCTGGGTTTTATTTCTTTCTCTTCATTAGCATGATAATGATTTTTTTTGTATTAATTGCTAAGCTGTTCTCATCTCAACCCACAAAGTTTCCCTTTTCTTTCCCATTCTCGTCCCCACATGGGGGGTGGTGGGATTGAGTGGCTGTGGTGGTGAGCTTCTGCCTGGGGTTAAAAAGCCCAATCTGAGTGAAGGAAGAGAAACCAGTTCACTCCTATTCCCTGAAAAAGTTATTCCAGCCCACTGGAAGCTTCCCAGCACGAAGATACTGCTTAAATCCCCTGAGACAAGGGGGTGTCTCCTGGCTGGGGCTGATTTAGGGCAAGAGGAACATTCTGCCCATGAAGACAGAGAAGTTGCAGAGCCTGGCACAGGGGTGGTACAGAGTGAGGTGTATTTGTGAAGGTGCAGGCTGGGTAGGTGAGGGGAGGGACAGGAAGACTCCACCAGCCAGGTACTACCTGTGCACTGAGAGCTGTGGTTGAGCAATGCCTTAAAAGATCCTTCTGCCAGGGCTGAGGCAACAGCCCAAGCATCCCAGGGATAGGTCAGGCTGGACAAGCATCATTCCTGTGCCAGGGATGGCCCACACAGCCAGCTGGGATGGCTGCAGCTTCTCTTTGGAAGGAGAGAATCATCATTAATTTTCCCTAGATGCACATTTTCAAGTACCTATAATGAAAGACAACTGTGCATGTTCCTCCCTGTAATTGGGCTGTTTGCACTCTAAATACAGTACAGCTTCTACCTGACTGGCTAATAAGGAATGATTTTCTCTCCTTTTATCTCTAATTAAGCCAAACTGAGCCTGGCATTGCTGTTCTGCAATCATTCCCCAGTGCAGGGGCTTGCTAAGTTGTAGGGATTGGCTTTCATAAGGTTTTAAAAGATTAATCTGTAACAATGTGCAGAGGAAAAACATAAATCTCTGTTAATGAAACTTGGAGGATTTCAGTAAGAAATTAATTTTAAGCGTTAGCGTCTGTAGAGCAGGGGTTGGAGGAAAACACCCCTGGAGTGATCAGCTGACTGTGCTGAGCAGAGGAGGATTTGGGAGCGTGGCTGGGCTAAGCCCAAAAGCCCTGGGATGGCTCCAGCCAGCTTTGCAGAGGCTTTGGGGTGTTATTTAGTGTCTGCACCCAGCACAGCATCGTGCAGAGGGGTGGGGACCTTCTTCATTCAGTCTGCTGGGGATAGGGAGGATGTGGGGCAGGACAGGGCTCCCTGTGGGAGTGGGGGTCCCTGAGAGCCCACACCCCTCCAGCAGTGGGATGCCTGGCTGGGGCTGTGGAGTGCTGCCATGCTGCTGGGGCCCTGGGAGATGAGATGCCAGCCTGGCCTCCATCCCAGGATGGGGAGGGTACCCTCTCCATCCCAGTGCTGGAGCCCCAGCCATGAGTGGATTTGGGATGAGCCAGGGCTGCCCCACTATCTCTGCCAATTAATGCTAGAAGCCAGAGCAGTCCTGCTGCTGCCAATCCCACACTTTAGCCAAGCTCAGAGAGGGATTTCTTCCTCTCTAGGCTTTAATCTTGCAGCCTTCATCACCATCATATACTCCAGCATGTTCCCATCACTACTTCCAAAACAGCAGCAAGAGGTGTCTGGTCCAGGGAATCCAACAGCACATCGTGGTTCTTCTTCATCAGCATCACTGATGCTGGGTGCTCATCTTTCTCCTCCAGGTGCTCTCCCTGCTGCAGGTGGCAATGCCAGGAGAACTCCAAACCCTGGCAAGGCCCTGGAGCACAGCTGGATGTGGGAAATGCTGGGTTTGAGTCTCCTCACCCACACAGAGGCTGCCCCAAGGCTGCACATTGCTCAGCGTTGGGCTGCTCTGGTGCTGGAGAAGCCCTAAACACAGAGGCTTCATCATCAGCCAGCAGATCTCGTTAGTACTTTATTAATTGCACGGATGGGAAGAGCAGCCCGATCCAAGTCAAACAACTGCAGCAGTTTCATATGATACAAAACAAAAGTCCCTTAAATACAAAATACCCAGCTCTAAGTGAGCATCACCTGGTGCTGAGCTCTGCCACCAGAGTTATATATTAATATTCCACCTGTACAAGTATTTATAGATTAAAAAAAAAAAGAAAAAGAAACACTTTAAAAAAATATCAGGAGAAAATTCACTCCCCCACTTGTTAGTTATATTTTTATATATATATAAAATACATATATATAAAAACACAGACTAGAGGCCGATTTGTGCTTTTCTTTTTACCAAAAGACAGACAGACAGTTATGGCCAAACTGACACTGGGGGTCCCCAGCTCATGGGTCGTGTTGCCTTCCAGTTGGAACAACATCTGGGAATTTGGGTCCCTGCCTGAATGAAGAAACCAGGTCAACTTCTGGGTGCTGACAGCTCCAGTGAACAGTTCCTTCATGAAGGGAAGGAAGGGGTGGAAAGGGGAAGGATGTCTTTGCAGGGAGTAGGTGGGCAGGGGCCATGTGTAGCTGCCCAAAGAGGGGTGAATCCCAAATCACTGCCCCTCCTGCCACTCCTCCTCCCTCAACACAGAGGGCAGCACAAAGGGGGAGCAGGTCTGGGGAGTCTCTCCCCACCTCGATGCCTCTTTCCAGGCACTGCCCCCTCCCACTCAGGTGCAGCTGCTCCGGGGCTCCAGCAGTGTCCTGCTCCACTCAGTAACAGGTGGGCTGGCTGAGGGATGGCCTTGGCTCTGAACGTGGTCCACCCACCCCTCCTCTCAGTGGCTCCCAGTGCAGAGAGAGGGCTTTTAGCCAAGGAAAGCAAGGCACAGGAGTACAGGGCTGCTTCTTCCATGAACTCAGCACCAACGCTGCAACAGGTTCCATCTGCCCCTCCACAGGGGCTGGCACTTGAGCTGTACCTATGCATCTGTAGGCAGCCCTCTCCTCCCAGACGAGCAGCCTCTTCCACCGCCACACAGTGACTCCCTGGCTGTCCCCACCCGGTGACACCACACACACAATCCCCCCCCTCGCTGCCCACCCTCCACTTCCCGACCCCGCACTGCGACCTGCGGACACGGCCCCTTTTCCCTGCTCGCTCCTCCTGCCTCACTCCACGCTCCTTCACCCCTGCTGGTGCTCCTGCCTTGTGTGGGGGCCCCAGCTCTTGCCACAGCCTGCAGTCAGGGGTCATCCCATGGCCACTCTTTCCCTCTCCTGAGGGACACCACGGCTTCCCTTCTGTGGCCACCCTGCCCCGCAGCACCCGGGCCATGGGATGGGACTGCCCAGCCCGGGGTGAAAGGATGTTTATAAATATGTGCCTCTGTCTCCCCCTCCACGGGCACTGCACCACATCGTGCTTCCTGCTGAGAGCCCCAGTCCGGATCCACTGGCAAGTCCACGTCTGAAAGGACAGAGCATCCTCCTGCTGCCTCAGATCTTTGTCTCGGGGCCGTTGGGACTCAGGGCTGGGAAAGAGTCTCGGATCCTCGCCAGCTCCATGGCACAGAGGTGGCCAAAGACCCTGTTATACCACTCGGGAGAACGGCCCCTGGAGAAGGGAAGGAGAAGAGGAG